GCAATTTTCCCATTTGGATATTGGTCTAACATTTTCAACGTTCAGACTTTGCAATAAAGTCAATTGGTCTAGCATTTTCAAAAATTAAGAGGTAAATGAAAGGTTCCATACAACTCAAATATATTGGATAAGATCCAAAATAAGAAATATAAACTTTTGTATGCTCAAAATTTGTACAATGTTTTGTACAGGGGTGAGCAATACTCAAAATATCGAAATACCTAATCCAACCCGACACGAAAACTGCAGAAAATCCGATCCTAAAACCTTATAAAACCTCGGTTAAGTAGGATCGTGTTGGGTATCCTACTCCCCCTTGATCCGTCCGATGACCCGATATTTTAATTAGTATATTAAATTTTTTCCCTTTTAAATTTTAATTAAACATAACCTAATTTCCTAATCGACGACGACTCCTCTCCTCACTTCCTCAATCGTACTTCGACCTTAGTTCACAAGCCACGACCTCAACGTTAGTTCGGTATTGACATTTTGTTATAGAAATCCAAGAATTAAGAAGTCATTTAATCATTTTATTACTCGCTTAGATATTTAGATTTGTGTTTAGATACTTACATTTCGACAAGAAACTGAAAAATTTGAAATAGACAAGACAAGAAGCTGGGAAATGGAAAAAAAATTGAGGATTGAAATCCAACCCGAACCGGCCCGAGACCTGAATGGGTATGAAGAAATGGGTCCATTAAACCCACCAGGGTCTAAAGAGACAAATTATGACCTTGTTTGAGTCATTTTGACCCAAATGGACCATTAAGACACATTCTACCTCAATTACTCCAATTAACATCTGATTAGAATAATTATGACGAATTTAGCACATTATACCACATTATACACATTCGCGGGTTTAAGGTTCTTTAAGCATTTCTGTTTCCATTTCATGCGTTAATCTCTTGTGGTCTTCGTTGCTCTTGGAGAATCTCTTGGTATATATTCAGCACCTCGTTTGCGAGGTCTTCGTCTATTTATCAAGAGTTTTTAAAAAGGGTTTTAGCATCACGGGTTATTGATTTGTGGAATGGGAACAGTGAATGACCATCCTCCTTTATCTGTTGATCCTCCTCGGGTTTCTGTCTTTGAGAGACTTTCTTCTCGTGAAGATATGTTGGGATCAACATGTTGATACTGAGGCTAATGAGAAGTTAAATTTTGCGCAAGTTGTTGGCCGTTCATTTAACACGGATTTGATGTTCTATCCGTTGGAGGATAAAAAGCAGTCTAGTGTGAAAATTCCGATTGAATTGGCAAAAGAAGCTGCAATTGCTTATAATTCGGTTTTATATGGTTATTTCTTAGGCCCGTGTATTCCGTTCCCTCTTGTGAAGAATTTTGTTAAAACGGCTTGGGGAAAATTTGGGTTTAAAGACGTTATATTAAATTCGAATGGTATTTTCTTTTTCAAGTTTAATGATGTTGGAGGATGTGACCAGGTGATTGAAAAAGGTCCGTTAATGATAAGAGGTATACCTCTATTTGTCCAACGGTGGGATCCATCTAAGGGGTTAACTAAACTGGTACACACATCATGCCCTTTATGGGTGAAGTTACACAACATCCCACTGGTTGCTTTCAATAAAGAGGGAGTCAGTCGTATTGCCAGTGTCCTGGGGGTTCCAAAACAGATGGATTCTTGTACAGCTGCAATGTGTGAAAAAGCTTGGGGTCGGCCGGGATTTGCTAAAGTTTTGGTTGAGGTTTGGTCTATTGGGGATCTGAAACGTCAAATTGAGGTTGAAATACCAAGCCTTACTGGAGGGGATGCTGAAAGTGTGAAAATCCAAGTTGGATATTTGTGGGAACCGATTCAATGCTCTCATTGTCAAGTATTTGGTCACAAACTATCGTCCTGTGCTAAAGCAACTAGTTTGAACAAAGGGAAGAATGTTGATGGTAGAAAGGATTCTGAAGGGTTTATCAGAGTGGAAAAGAAGCAATGGAGGGTCAAACCTAGTAATAATGTTACGCAATCAGTTCCAAGACAGGAAAGGATGAAAGAGATGTCAGGTCCACTTCCGGAGTCTTTGATAGCTAGCTCATCCCGTAGGGTTCAAAGGGAGGAGTGGAGTGCTGGTGAAGATGATCATTCGGCCTTAAATGAAGATACTCGAAAGAATTCGGTAATAAACTCAGGTTCTAAGTCTTTTGGGGGTAGGATCTGGGTCTTCTTCGTCCCATCCTCCCAATTCTTGTCAGCCTAAACCTACCCCTATTATTGAGTCTGTGGTAAAAAACTTTCGATTGCCCCGGAGGGGTGTTATGGTAGACTCTGTGGTTTCATCTAACAGATTTGGTGTTCTTGAGACGGAGGGAGGGGAGGAATCCCAAGGGGATTCTCATGAGGATGTCGGTAAAGACGCGGTTGTGTGTCACGTGAATACGGTTAGTCAGGAACAAGTGGTGGTTCCTACGTCTTCCTCATGTTAAAATTCGCTTCGTGGAATATCCGGGGGCTCAACTCTCCGGTCAAACAAAAAGAGGTGAATTTTTTTTATTGTAATGATTAGAGTATGTGTGCTATTGTGGAGTCGAACGTTTCTCAGGATTCTCTTGAGAGCGTGTGCTCTAACATTTTTGGTCGTTGGTCTTGGTGTTCTAATTAAGTGGTGTGTGAATCTGGTACCTGTATTATTCTTGCTTGGGACTTACGGGTTTTAGATGTCATGGTTTTGGAGGCTCATAGTCAATTCTTGAACTGCAAGGTTTTTGTTAATGGTAGACAAGATTATATTTTTTTCTCATTTGTCTATGGTGCCAACGTTTGTAATGCAAGAAAAGAATTGTGGTCTGGGTTGCGTAAGTTTAAAGTCTTGATTGGTTCTCATCCTTGGAATATGATGGGGGATTTCAACACCATGTTATTTCCCCATGACGGCTTTGGGGGATCTTCTCATCGCAAAACGGATATGTCTGATTTTCATGCGTGTGTTGAGTATATTGAAGTTTTTGATTTGCACTATACTGGCATCCATTTCTCTTGGAATCAAAAGACGAATTCCAGTGGGAGTATTATGTGTAAACTTGATCGGGCTATGGCTAATTCAGAATTTACTGCCAAATACCATGATGCTAGTTCATTTCTTCCCCTCGGGCCTCTCGGATCATTCTCCGGTTGTTTTAACTTTTAAAGGAGGAGACTCTCGGAGAAAGAGGTATGGATTTAAATTTGACAATTTTGTGATTGATCATCCAAAATTCTTACAGGTTGTTAAGGATGAATGGGCTAGAAATGTAGAGGGGTCCGTTATGTTTCGGGTGACTTCTCACTTAAAGGCACTTAAGATTCCTCTTTGTAAACTTCAGAATTCTTATGGTAATCTTGGGCAGCGTGTTTCGTTTTTGAAAACAGAATTAGATAGTATTCAATTAGATGTTGACAATGATCCTTCTAATGCTGAGTTGGGGTTGGAACTTGGTCATCTCCGTATTGCTTATCAAAATGCTTGTTGGGATGAGGAATGTGCGGCAAAACAGCGGGAGTGGTTGAATGAAGGGGACAGGAACACCAAATTTTTCCATAAGGTGCTAAAAGAGCGGCATCACTATAATTCCATTCAATCTGTTTGTACTAGTCGAGGTGAGTACGTTTATGGAGATGATATTCCTAATGAATTTGTTGATTATTTTAGAGATTTTCTTGGTATGCGGTATGCGTCGTCAGATCCGGTTATGTCCGAGGAGAGTTTTTCGAGAAAGCTCACTATATCAGAAGCTAATCATATGATAAGGCCGATTCAGGATGATGAAATTAAGAATGCTATGTTTAGCATCGGAAATTATAAAGCCCCAGGATCTGATGGGTTCTCTTCCAAGTTTTTCAAAGCTTCTTGGGATATTGTGGGTCAGGATGAGGTTTTAGCTATCCACAACTTCTTTTATCGAGGTAACCTCCCTAGGGAATTAAATCATACTCTTATTTGCCTTCTCCCTAAATCTATTAATGCTTCTAAGGTTACTGATTACAGGCCTATAGCTTGTTGTACAGTGCTTTATAAATGCATTAGTAAAGTCATTGTTAACCGAATGAAGGGATAATTGGATTCTTTAATTGATAAGGCTCAATCGGCTTTTATTCCGGGTAGGAGGATTGCGGATAATATCCTCATGGCTCATGAGCTTGTTTCTGGGTATCAGTCCAAGACTGGTCCTCCTAAATGTGCGTTTAAAATTGATATTAAAAAAGCTTATGATACGGTGGAATGGAGGTTTCTTATTGTTATGCTGCAGGGGTTGGGTTTTCATCCGGTTATGGTCAAGTGGATTAAGGAGTGGTGTCTACTACTTCCTATTCTCTTGCGATAAATGGAAATTCTTATGGTTTTTTCCATGGAGGTAGAGGTCTTCGGCAAGGTGATCCGCTATCCCCTTATCTGTTCACGATTGTAATGGAGGGGTTTTCTATCCTCCTTAAGCAGTGTCTTCAGGAAGCTTCGATTTTGGGTACCATCGGGGATGTGATGACTTGGATTTGACTCACTTGTGTTTTGCTGATGATCTATTTGTCTTTACAAAGGGTGATGTCTATTCGGTGGAAGTGCTTAAAAAGGCCCTATATCTTTTTCAACAACGTTCGGGGTTAGCACCAAGCCTTGAAAAAAGTGAGACTTATTTTGGGAATGTGTCACCTAACATAAAGGCGGCCATTCTTGAATGTCTTCCTTTTAAGCTTGGGTCTTTTTCCTGTTCGTTACTTGGGAGTCCCTTTGTCTCAAACTAGGTTGAAGATAAGTGATTACGGTCCTTTGATTACTAAAGTTAAGAGTCGTATATTTAATTGGAAGTCTAAATTCCTTTCTTTTGGAGGTCGTAGACAACTTATTATTTCGGTTCTTCAATCTCTTCAGTTGCATTGGATGTCTGTGTTCTTATTACCTTCTGGGTTAATCCATGACCTTGAAGCTATATTTCGGAAATTTCTTTGGGCTCCAAGGGAAGATCCTAGAGGAAGATGTAGGCTTTCTTGGGACGTGGTGTGTCGACCTATGGAGTCAGGGGGTCTTGGCATTCGGAGGTTGGCTACGTGGAATAGGGCTTTACTTGCTAAACATGTTTGGGATATTGTGGGGCATCGTGAGTCTTTATGGGTTAGATGGGTGTATTGTAATTATCTTCGTTTTTCTCAATTCTGGATGGTTCGGAAAAATTCCAATTGGTCATGGGTCTTCCGTAAACTGTTGGACTTACGTATTCAGTTGAGGCGTTTTTTGGTTTCTCAGATTGGTGATGGTCGGAGGACTAATGCTTGGGAGGATTCTTGGTTACCTTGTGGTAATCTCTCGGCTTTTTTATCTTACCGGTTTATCCATTCTTGTGGATTCTCTACTGCCACTACTGTTCGTGAGCTGGTTTTACGGTTGGATGGTGTTTGGCCTGCTGAGTGGCGTACCAGGTTTGCTGAAATTTTCTCTGCTCCTTTGCCTGTGTTGAATGATTTTGTTTGTGATTATGTTCTTTGGGGGGATAATAATGCTTCTTGTTCGAAATTCTCGGTTAGTAAATCTTGGGCTTCGTTGGAGGGAACTTATCTGGTTGTTTCTTGGTATAAATCAGTATGGTTCTCTGGCCACATTCCTAAACACGCCTTCTGTTTATGGCTTGCTTGTCATAAACGTTTGCCTACTCAAGATCGTATGCTTTGGAAGGATGAATCGCCTGATCTGAAATGTTCGCTTTGTGGAATTTTTATGGATTCCCACTCGCATTTATTCTTTCAGTGTAACTTTGCGCGTGAAGTTTGGGATAGTATCTTGCATAAAGTGGACTTGACGACCATGCCTTCTTTGTGGGATCATATTTTGGAGGCTATTTCTGATACTGGTCGAAGACCGAGGAGCTTGAAGCAGAAACTTGCGGTAGCTGCGTCTGTTTACTATATTTGGCAGGAACGTAATAGAAGACTTTTTTCAGAGGATCACCGGACATCTATGCAACTTATCAAACTTATTGATCATACTATTGCTACTCGTGCGACTTGGATGGTGGGGCGAACTCAGGGTAATGCTGTTTGATTTGAGTTTTCCTTTGTTGGCTTGGGGTGTTGTTTGGTGGTTTAAGCTCCTTTTCTTTATTTTTAGCTATTTGTTTGGGTCTGTGGGGCTTTGTTTGTTTTGGCTTGTTGTGGCTTGGTATGATTTGGTGTCCAAGTCTTTTGGGGGGTTTGGCTATTGGTTGTGGTCAAACGCTTAGTTGTTGGTTTTTTTATGGTTTTATAAATTTGCCTGGTTTTCGTACAAAAAAAAGGTCTGATCAAACTAAATATAACCCAGCTAGTGACATTTTGAGCAAATTATAATCCTTATGGATAAATGGGTCTTATTAGACCATTAATCATATTAACTATGACGCACTTAGTGTCATTTTGACCCAAATGACTGATTATAATAAATAGGCTCATTAGACCCACTAAGAGTAAATGGACCTATTTAGGACATTTAAGACCCATTAACATCTATTTAGCCTAATTATGAACCATTTAATGTCATTTTCACCCAATTAGACTCCTTACGAAAAAAATAGGCCCACTTTGTAGTTTATCCTTGCCAAATGGACCCATTAAGGACCATTATTGATGGAGACCCTACCAAAAAGAAGGGAGATAAGCATGAAGGAAATATAAAGCTGGATGGCAAAATGTATGAAGATGATCCACTTACAGCAATGC